CAGAAGATAACTACTTAGAACTCCCCGTTGTCATCCTGAAGAACCTATTTCCATATAAGGTAACTCCTCTCCGGTCAAGGGTTGCTAGATTCAGCAAATAAAAATACAGGATGCCTAGTTGACTTTGAGTTTCGGATAAACGAGGAACACTTTTAAGTATGAGGGTGCTCTGTGCACTATTTGGGACATACCTATCCTAAAAAGTATTCCTCGTTTATCCGAAATTCAATTTAACTGGCCCTCGTGTGTTTTAGCTAGCAGCCCTACTCTGAATGCATTTTGGGTTGCAAATATTTTAAATTTGTAGTGTTTGTGTTCCAGTTGAACCCCGAAGCAGAGCTCAAGTGGGGTGAGAAAAGCTGGTGGGGGGAAATGGTAAGGAGGAGGAAGGAGGACCTCCCCCGCTGCTTCACTTCCCTGCCTGGCTCATTTGTGAATGCTGTGGTGCCTTCCAGGGCGGGGGGCATGAAGGCCCCTCCGTGGCCCACCAGCTGCCAGGCACAAGGTCAGGCCTGGTGGGGCAGCCCTGACCTTGGGGAAAGAGTCTCCTCTGACATCCTGAAGCTCTTCTAACCTCTGGCACGAGGCGGCTCTTCTTCCTCATCACTGACTCTGATGTGTCTGTTCACTGTGGGAGGTGTTTTCGGCCCAGATGAGGGGGTAGCTGCAGAATCCTACACACAGTGGCTGAGCCTCCCTTACCTACTTACCCCGCTCATTTCCCTTTGCTTCGGCCTCAGTCTCCTTGCGTTCCTCTGTAGCACTGTAGCTCTTTCCATACATTCGACTAGATTATAAGCTCCTCTAGGGCAAGGGCCAGGTATATGCTCTACTTCCTACGAACGCCTCACTTTTCTGGAGGGCATTTATTGCAAAAGGCCAGCCTCCTTCCATTCCTGGCTTTTCGCCTCACGCTCTTGCGCCCCGTGTCCCCTGGGGAGTCAACGCTGCTGGGGGGCGGGGGCTCAGGAGACACTTTGGACCTGGCAGAAGAGCAATCAGGGGCAGGCCTGGTCATCTAAGAACACTTTCTCCAGTATCTCCTGTGCCAGCCTGAGGCCAGAGGTCACAGAGCAGAGGCCTCAGCAGGACCATGCTTAACCCATTCCAAACAGATGAGGCCCTTACTGTTTTGCAAGGTCGTCGGTTGGGCATTTCATAACTTCCCCCGTGGGCTTCCCTGCAGCGGCAGATGACTGTCACTCATCAGGAAAGGAAGGCCTCCTCTCCCTACTCTTCCCTTGTAACTTTTTTGATTCTATTTATTTATTATTTATTTGAGAGCAAGCAAGAGAGAGAGATAGCAGGAGCGGGGGCCGGGGGCGGGGATGGGGAGCAGAGGGAGAGGGAGAGAATCTCAAGCAGACTGCACGCTGAGCACGGAGCCTGACGACCTGGGGCTCCGACTCCTGAGACCATGGCCTGAGCCAAAATCAAGAGGGGGTCGCTTCACTGAGCCACCCAGGTGTCCCCCTCTTTTAACTCTTAATTCCATCCTCTAATTCTATGATTAAATCTTATATTTCTTTTTCATTAGTAATCCCCTTAACTTCTGTAGGGGACAGACACCTGGAAAAAAGAAACAAGGCCTTATTTTAATGAAAATGATTAATGGAATGAAAGGTTGAACAAACTCCTCCCCCTGCCACTCTGCTGAAGTAGGGTTAGGGTCATCTGAAGACTGCGTGTGCGTGTGTGTGTGTGTGTGTGTATGGGCTGGTGGGATGGCAGAACTAACACATCAGGTCTGGGTGAATCTTAGAACAATCAGCAAATTCATTCATTGGGACCTTTTAATATTTCCATTCTCAACTTTAAATAATAGGGTGACTTTCCTGATCTCAGCAGGAAAATCCGTCAGGAGTGAGAGTGTGAGGACCTTCACCGGGTTTTCAGGGGCAATGCCTGTAGGCAGATATGTGTAATCAGGAGACAAGGATTGGCTGTTGTGACCAGAGCCTCCCACGGTCACTGTGATCTGGCAAAGAAAATCCAGGGTAGGGCTCAGCTCCTTGAGGATGGGTGTGGGTCAGAGTTGCTGGAGAAATGAACCCTTCTGCCCCAGGCAAGCCTGCAGACTAACCAAACAGAACAATTGGTTGGGGCGAAAGCCTTACCCGTATAGGAGGTTACTCACTCTGGCAAATAAATATCTTTCATAATAAAAGCATCATCGGATTCCAGAGTTGTGAATTAACAAAGTGTGCTGGTCTGCTGAGGGTGTTATGTTTCTTTAGGATTTTACCCTTTGGTAGTCAGGGCTACGCAAAGGGTGGTGGTTATAAGCAACTGTCTGGAGTTGAGTTATTAACTTACACTCATTTTCTGCTACAAAACGGCTGTCTTGGGCTGACTCTCGTGACACACCTGACTATCCACTTTAGTCCTCATTCTGCTTGCCCTGCCTGGACAGTCTTATTTATTATTTCCATTTCAACTACTAACCACTGTTATTTCCATGATTGAAAATGCACCATTAACTTAATAACACCTAGAGGTGGAGAGGGGAGGGGAGAAGAATCCCTATCATATTAAATATACAACATCAACAGTAAGCACATCCCTACACCTCACAGCCAAAGACTTCCCGATTGTTCCAAACTCATTTCATAGTCATCTCCTCTGAGCAGCTTTTTTGGACAACCTTTCCCAGGAATGACCACTCCCTGTGTCACACCTTCCAAGTCATGAAGCACAGACTGCAGGCACCGTAAGGTCAGGAACTACCTTAACCATCTCTGTATTCCCAGGGTCTAGCCCAGTGCCTGGCATGAATTCAGTCTATAAATATTTATTGAAGACCTATCATGTGCCAGGCACACCTCCAGACTTGTACTTATTTGTTAAACAAAAGAGTTTTGGGCATTGACTCATTCCTTTTTTAGCCCCCCCAAAAAAAGGGAGTGGTATGTATGTTGTGCTGTTTTGGTGGGCTCAAGCTGCCATGGTGAATGCCATAGACAAGGTAACTTAAACAAGAAACATTTATTTATCATAGTTCTGGAGGCTGGAAGTCCAAGATTTAGTTCCTGGTGAGGGCCTTTCTCCTGGTTTGCAGATACTGTCTAGCTGTATCCTTACATGGTGGAGAGATCATCTATTTTGTGTTTCTTCTTATAAAGGCACTAATCCCATTCACAACGGCTCCATCCCATCCTCAGGACCTAATTACCCCTCAAAGGCCCCACCTCCAAATACCATTAGGGATTAGGGTTTTAATATATGAATGGGGGGGGGTGAGGAGGATACAAACATTTAGTTCAAGCATGTGCTAACCTGAATGTCACCAAGTGCCAAAATGTGTGGTCCAGACATTAAGTGCTGTGGGTGGTTAAGAAAGGAAAAGATTCAAGTTTCCAGAGGGGCCAGGACTTACTCTTCTGTAGTTCCAGCATCTCCCAAGGCCTAACATTAGGCCTTGCATTTGAGGTCGATTGAATTAAATTCCAAAACTTCTCAGAGAAATTCTAGAGGGTTCCATGAGATGGGAAAAAGGGATTTCAGGATGGGTGAACAGTATGAAGAAAGGCTCAGTGGCAAAAATGAAATAAAAATTTTTCTTTATCGTGTTAAAACAGAATTTACCATTTTAACCATTTTTAAGTGTATGGTTCAGTGGCATTAAGACATTCCCATTGTTGTGCCACCAGGAAATAATTTTTGAGTCCCTTTCACAGGGGTCCATACCTGGCTAATCACACACTTGTTACTGGAAATAAGAAACACTTGTTAGTGGAAGTAATGATGTATCAGAGTTAAAGCAGTGCTCCTCTCCCCAATCTGGGCAGTTTGTCCATTCACATCTGTGATGTGTGTTGCATGTATTAATGAAAGGCTATGGTCCTGGGGGGCATTGGGAATCAGGGTTTCTCCCTATAGGAGCACCTTATGAATCACCCTTGTGAAGTTTTAAACAATGAACACTATTTTTTTTTCAATACTGGGCCCTTTGTATTCAAATTAGAAGCACAAAACCCTATTGTAGAGAAAAAAGAGTCTTAATTGGTAACCAGTTGTGTCCACTTAAAGCAACACATATTTAGTCTTAAGAGTACATTCCATATGAAGAACTGTAGCTATTAATACACTTGGTTTGTTTGTTTTTTCCCCATGGGTGTACTTGTGGGAAGTGTTCTAATCAATGCCATAGGCACCCTGGAGAGGGGAGGCCCACCCCCCTACCCCCACGTCCACAGGGCAGCGAGCAGAGCCTGTGAGATCTAGGTTCTGCTCTTGGCACTTCGCTGTGAATCCTTGGGTAGGTCACCTGAACACTTATGGCCTTGTACCACGAAGAGGTTGGAATCCCCCATGACCTTTAAAGTCCTTTCATCTCTGGGAAAGTCCTACCTGAGTCATTTTTAGCAACAGCCCAGCCCAGCGGCTGGTGGGTGGGGTGCTGAGCCTGGGACGAGTGGGTGAACGGCGGGGAGGTAGCTGAGGGAATAGCAGACACGCGTGGGTGACTTCTGAGGGACGGGAACGCGGGGTGTCCCGGAATGGAGCTCAGGCGATGGGGTTTCCAGACGAGTCCTTCCCGGGCCAACTTTTAAAGGTCGGAGGAAAGTTTGTCGTGGGGCGGGGGCCCGAGGGGAGAGCGGGGTGGGCTCCGACGCCTCCTCCCCTTTAAGCGGGTGGCGGGGCGCTGCCTCCGTTACCTGGAGCGGGGAGGGGCTTGGGAAAGTTTGTGTTTGTTGCTGGCAGAGCGCCGGATGGGAGGCGCGGGCGGGCGGGCGCTGCGGCTCTTCCCTTTTGCTTTCGGGAAGCGGTCGGGGCTGCGCGCTCCTCGGCTCGGCGGGGCGGCTCCGGCGCCCGGCTCCCGGTGCCCGGCCGGCTGGAGGCGGGAGGCGGGAGGCGGGAGGCGGGAGGCGGGCGGGCGGCGCGGAGCGAGGGGCGCACGTACGGCCCAGCGCTGGGATTTCTCGGCTCGCGAGGAGAGCGGAGCAGGCGCGCGGCCCAGGCGGGGGAGCGCGGACTCTGGAGCAGCCGGAGCTGGAGGAGGAGGAGGAGGAGAGGCGGCGGGGACGCAGGAGGCGGGGGAGAGTCGCTCCCGCCCGGCGAGCATGGGGCGCCTGGCGCCGAGGCCGCTGCTGCTGGCGCTCCTGTGGCTGGGTGAGTGCGCGCGGGGCTCGGCGGGGCTCGGCGGGGCGCGGGGGCCGGGGGAGAGGCTCGGCGGGGGCGCAGCTGCGGCGCGCGGCCTGGGGCGCCGGGGTGCCGGGCGGCTCCCGGGAGACGCGGCGGGGTCCGCCGGCGGCGCGGGGCGGCGGGGAACGGCGCGGGGCCGCCCGGAGCCGGGCGCGAATCCGGCCGGGCCGCCCCGCCAGGCCGCGCCTCGCCCCACCTGTGCCGGGGGGAAGGGGGGAGTGGCCCGTGGCCGGCTTCCCCGAGCCCTCCCTACCTGTTGGCCGCCGGGAGCCCGGCTCACCTTGAACTCCGGGCCCGGAAGGTGCCGGCGGTCCCCGGCCGCGTCCGCAGCAGGGGGGCGGAAATATGCGCCTTTGATGTGCTCCGCCGTAGCCGAGACCGGCCGAACCGTCCCTGGCACATGCCAGCCCACGCTGAGCTGCCTTTCCAGGGAAGGGAGACAATCCGCCAACTTCCTTCTACGAAGGTCACGGGGTGGCCCAGAGCGCTAGGAAAAATCGGTGTGCGCGTCCTTCGTCATGTTGGCTGTGGCTCGATAGTCTGCCTCAGTCTTTTCCTTTAGCTCTTCTTGAAGCTGCCTAGCTGCACATTTGCACACAAAGACCTGGGAGCCTTGGCTTCTCCAACTTTTCCTACCTGTTACTTTTCTTCCCTTTACGGTCCCCTGTCTTCCACCCTCCCCAAACCTGGGTGCCTCTTGATAATTTGACCCAGCGCCGTCCCCCCAACCCAAGGAATCTTTGGTGTTTTTTTTTTTCCCCTCTCCATTTTCCTTTTACCCCATACACACAGACACCATTTTCGTGTAGATACACATGATTATGGCAATATGGTTATTTAACATAACTATGCAGTTATCAGCCGTAGAAATACATATGTTTGTTAAGTGCCCACGGAGGTGCTGCAGGGCTGACCCCAGTGCTTTGATATTCTTTAATATTCTTGGATCCCTTTGGTCTGTGTCAACCAGAACAGAAGGAGTCCTGTGACCTGACCCAGGGTTCCCTTCCAAGCCCCTAGAGAAGGCAGATCTGAATCTTTTGCAGAATGCATGGTGTGTGGTGTTTGTCCCCGCCAGGCCCCAGCTGCACACAGGGCAAATGACTACTCTGCACTTACAGTCAGAGAGGGTCCCAGTGGAAGCCTCCCACAGCCATTCCCATCCTGCTGACACCAGGGCCCGCATTGTCCCCACCCCCATGACTCCTGCTGCGGGTGGGCCAGCCTTTCTAGCTGCTACTGTGTTTTCTTTCTTCATCTTTGAAGGGTTTTCTGGAATTCACTCCCCAAGAGAGCTCATCCAGCCATACTGCTTTAGCTGCAACCATGTGCAGAGTGCTTCCAGATCCTTCACTTAGTTTTGTAGCATGTCTTGAATGGGGGTCCTCGAGCTTTCCCTTTCATACCGGGACCCCTGAAGTTCTCCGTTTGTTTTGATAGTCCATACCCATTAATTGGCTAATGTGTCTGGGTCGAACCAGACCATGCCCCATGGTCGCACAGATTGTGCACTGCACAACCCTAGGAGCTGCTCTTCACTTTGTAGCCAAGGTGAGTGACCCTCTAGAGCTGTGCAGTTGACCACCCGTGTACCAGCTTAGATGGAGGGCTCACGTAGAAGTCGGAAAAGAATGCCCTTGAGGAACTGATGAGGGAGAAAAAGGGAGAGGGGGCAAAGAGAGATGGGCAAAAGCAAAAGTAGAAGTGGAGTAGAAGACAGCTTGGAGCAGTCTTGGCTGTATGTGCACCACTGTGCCCTGCGCTGGCAGGACACTGCGTGCTAAGTAGACGTGAATATCTGAGGAGTCACCAGCCAACGCCTTTCCACCTAACAGCTCCTGAACTTGGTGTTGCAGATGACAGCTCTGCCCTCCAGCGTCTCACCCGGTGTGGCTTCTCTGTGACCTCTGGGAAGCCCTCCATGTTGTACTGGCTCCTGAAACTTAATATGTCGATAAACAAGCTCATCTTCCCTCTTGTATTGCATCCTGAGCAAAATCTTGCCATCACTGCCCTCTGTGACCTCCATGTTCACACAGTTCCTCAATTCTGTGGCTTTTCCCCGAGCACAGACTCAGGCTTCTTCCCATTCTTCCTGTTTCTACAGCTACTCTCCTAGCCCAGGTTCTGATAATTCCCCACACAGATAACTTTGGACATCTTCCTGGTTGACCGTTTCCTCCACCCTCCCTTCTTAGTTCATTATTTTCCAGAAGGATCAGTTTTGGGAGGCCCACCTTTGCTCATTGGTTCTTATGGTTTTTCTTCCAAGGATACTCTGCCCCTTGTGTTGCTTCCCTCTGAATCAAACACTTCATTCTAACGAATCTGTTTGCTATCCTTTACAGAGAATTGTGTGAACCTTCCGGCCTTTCCCTTTTCCATGGCCTGGGAACATCCCTCCTGCTTCTCTCCTCTCACCTATGTATTCCCTTTTCCCCTAAAACTCGCTTCCTCCATGAAATTTTACTAAGTCTCCCTCTCAATGATCATATCAGAACCCACTCAGCTTTCCAGAGCAGGTCCTGTGTCTGACCTGTCTTGTCCATTCATTCACTATGGCATTTCTTGAATACCCATCAGAGTCCACAGAACGTCGCAGACAAATTCCTCCCTGGGTGGTCGGTGCGCATGGATGGACAGATGATAGATAAAACAGCTAACTACAAGACAAAAGTGAAACACCTAACAGAGACACCAAGTGCTGGTAGGCAGCAGGGAAAAGGATGATTAATTTTGACTTGGGGTTGATTTTGCTGAAGAGGTGGCATCCTCGAGGATGATTAGAATTTTGAAAGAAGGGGCGGAAGAGCATTCCAGGAAAAGCACACTCATGGAAGGGCATCGAGTGTGGACAAAGTGAAAGTGCTCTGCTCATTCAGGAAGGGCATGTAAGTTCCACGGAGCTGGAGGTGGGAGGGGGAGGTTCTAATGGGAGAGCAGGCTGGAAGGTTGGGCTTGGGGTAGCTCCTGAAGGCTTTTCGTGCTGGGCTGAGATGTCTGCGCTGTGAGGGGTGGGTTCGTTGGCTTCCGGGGTAGTGCCGGGCAGCCTGTACTTTTCCTCTAATGTCACTTATTTATTTCACTGTATATAGTTGTCTGTTTCTGGTCTGAATCCTCACCCTGATTATATCCCCAGGGGCAGGGATCATGCTCATCCTCTTCACTATAGTATTACCAGTAGGGTAATACTATAGCGAAGTACTATTACCAGTAGGGCACCTGGCAGCACATAGTAGGTATTTGATAAATGTTGGCCAACTGAATAGATACATGCATATATCCCTTTATCTGTGGGTAATGGATAGCCATTAAAAGCTCTCAGGGTGAAATTAATACAACACAGCAATGTGCTTGAGGAGGTCAGCCCTCACCAGTATACAGCATGAATTGGAGAGTGAGAGGTAGGAAGACCCGTGGGGCGGGATGAAGATATTCTCTTCATTTGTGTCTTAAAAAAAAAAACAACAAAAAACAACTTTCAAATCCAGTGAAATGGTTGTTAAATGACAAAAGCATTACCTCTGTATTTTCAAATTCAAATGAGATAGAAGAGTTTTATATTAATTAGGTAGGCCAAACTGCTTTAGAAAAGAAAGAGACTTGAAGCATCATGGTTCAAACAATAGAAGTGTCTTTCATAACAGTGCCAAGGGGTGCTTCGGATGACAAGGGTGAGTGGTATCCCTGCTCCTTGCAGCCATTCTTGCGCCCAGGCTGATGGCAGCTCCCCTGTCTTCAGCCCATCTAAGATCACTTTGGTTGTCCTCATCTCCTTTCCAGCCCCATAAGGGGGCAGAGCATGGAGGAGAACTCATGGAGGTTTCCTAGGCCAGGCTTTGAAGGGGCACCCATCATTTCTGCACACATTCCATTCAAGAGAACTTAGCCTCCTCACACTAGCTGCAAGGGAAGCCGAGAAATGCAAAGTAGCCTGGCAGCCACCGAGCACCACCCGCTGTGGGAGAAAACAATGGATTTGGGGGGGGAGAGCTAGCGGTCTCTGTCAGTTACGAAGGATATAAGGTAAAAAGCTTAGCCCAGGCGGAGCCACTCCTATAATGTGCGTGCATCCGTAATAGCGAATGTTTTGTTTCTTTTCTCTTAGTTTCTATAGAGGGCTCTGTACGGAACGGAGTAATAATAGCGGCCGTTCAGAGAGTACATATGAGCATCAGGTTTTATGTGCATTCTCTTATGTAATCCTCACAACCCTTTGAGAAAGGTGCTGTTCTTTTGTCCACACTGCACACGAGGGAAGCGACGCCCAGAAAAGTTAAATCACATGTCCGGAGTCCTACAGCTGTTCCGAGGCAGAGCCAGGATGTGATCACGGGACTCCATTGTGCCTGTACTCAGGAAGGAGTTGACTGATGCTCGCCATAACCTCATGCTGTGTGTTGCCTGAGACTAGTTTCGGCAGAAAAGGATGGTTGTGCTTTGACAGCCAGAGCGCAGTTGCAAACAAGAGGGTCTGGGGTGAGTGCAGTCCGGGCGCAATTCCTGGAGCCGCTGTACCACGAACCCCCTCCCAGATGTGGCGACCTCTAACCCCTAGCAGGTCCCCATGCCTGCTCGGAGGGTTGGGACCCAAAGGCAGAAGGAGGGGGGAGACTGGCAGGAGGAACTCTAGTGAATCCATCCAGCTTAACGGTCTTTGAAGTGCTGTGGCCTTCAGAGATTCCTTGGCACTCATTTTAGCCTTGTTAACAGAATTCCTGTATCTGCCAAGCTGATTAATGCCTGCCCTGGCTATAATTATTCTTATTAGCCTGCTGAATAGGAACCTTAGTTGTCAGTGATCGTTCCTTACAAGGCAGTCGGGCTGGTCGGCATGTATATGGCTATTTTGCTTTAGTCATGGAGCTGCGGAGCTGATTTTTACCCTGTAGATTGGATGTACATTTTCATATTGGCGTTGTGTCTGGCAGTTAAATAAGGTGTGTGCTTGTCTGTCAGTGTGTGTC